CAGACAGACAGACAGACAGAGACAGATGACAGGTAGAAGATGAAATATAGATGGATGATAGGTAGATAGATGAAAGATGGATGGATGGATGGATTGATGGTAGACAGATAGATGATAGGTAGATAGATAGATGATAAATGGAAGATAAATGATAGATAGACAGACAGACAGACAGACAGACAGACAGACAGACAGACAGATGACAGGTAGAAGATGAAATATAGATGGATGATAGGTAGATAGATGAAAGATGGATGGATGGATGGATTGATGGTAGACAGATAGATGATAGGTAGATAGATAGATGATAAATGGAAGATAAATGATAGACAGACAGACAGACAGACAGACAGACAGACAGACAGACAGAAGATGAAATATAGATGGATGATAGGTAGGTAGATGAAAGATGGATGGATGGATGGATGGTAGACAGATAGATGATAGGTAGATAGATAGATAAATGATAGATGGAAGATAAATGATAGATAGATAGATAGATAGATAGATAGATAGATAGATAGATAGATAGATAGATAGATAGATAGATATGTAGGTAGGTAGGTAGATAGATAGATAAATGATAGATGGAAGATAAATAGATAGATAGATAGATAGATAGATAGATAGATAGATAGATAGATAGATAGATAGATAGATAGATAGATAGGTAGATAGGTAGATAGGTAGATAGGTAGATAGAAATAGAAACATTAGATAGATAGATAGATAGATAGACAGACAGACAGACAGACAGACAGACAGACAGACAGACAGACAGATGACAGGTAGAAGATGAAATATAGATGGATGATAGGTAGGTAGATGAAAGATGGATGGATGGATGGATGGTAGACAGATAGATGATAGGTAGATAGATAGATAAATGATAGATGGAAGATAAATGATAGATAGATAGATAGATAGATAGGTAGGTAGGTAGGTAGGTAGGTAGGTAGATAGATAGATAGATAGATAGATAGATAGATAGATAGATAGATAGATAGATAGATAGATAGATAGATAGATAGATAGATAGATAGATAATCCGCATTCTAGATTCCGGCAAGTGATGGAACGGCCACAGTATCTGGAGATTGCACAACGCCCTAAGCTTCAAGAAAACCTAATCATGATTTAAAGCGCCGCCTTTGACTCTCCTGCATGAGGCCAGCCAAAATTTGTCCTTGGAAATCTGGATTTTAAGCTTGAGGGGCCCCAAGCTACAATTTATGTTTGTTTGTTTGTTTTTAAAAAATGGGAGTTCTGCTAATAAATTCAGCAAATGTTTTTGAGCGGAGAAAGTAAATTAGGAGAAAGCTGGAACGCAAACTTTTTTTCTTGGGCTTACTTTTCTTTCCATTTATGGAGCACAAAATTAGATCTTTTTTTGTGTGTGTGTGTGCGAATCCACCTCCTTTTTCCTTCTGGTTAATAACAAACAGCACTGCAAATGCCGTTTTTGTTTTATCTCGGAAATGGATTTGCAAATCTGAAACCAGAACGAGAATTAAATAATTTGGAGCAGATCCGGGACTCTCGCCCACTTTGTCCTTCGGCCTTCAGCTCTGCTCTGGCCTAGATTGCGTGCCGTAGGTTGCTTTGCGGTCACGGAGATTCATAAGTCCTTGACTTATAACTGTTCGTTTAGCGACGCTTCGAAATGACAAGGGCACTGAAAAAAGTGACTTATGACCGATCCTCGAACAACCGTCGCAGTATGGATGGAAACTAATCAAGGAGAGAAGCAACCTAAGAACTAAGAAGAAATTTCCTGACAGTTAGAACCATTAACCAGTGGAACGACTTGCCACCAGAAGTTGTGAATGCTCCAACACTGGAAGTTTTTAAGAAGAAACTGGACAGCCATTTGTCCGAAATGGTATAGGGTTTCCTGCCTGAGCAGGGGGTTGGACTAGATGACCTACGAGGTCCCTTCCAACTTTATCATTATTATTATTATTATCTTTTTTACATGGTGGTGACCAAAACTGGATGCAAAATTGGAAACCTTGATTGGTTTCCATCCGTTGTTTCTTGTCCTGCTTTCAGGGTGCTTTGGAGGATAGCTTGACTCCCTCTTCTTTGGGGCAGCTCCTGAGATACTGGAAGACTGCTATCACGTCCCCCCTCGTCCTTCTCTTCATTAAGCTAAAAAGAACAGATGTAACATTCAGTTCTTCTATGCATCCATGCAATCAATCATGGTGTGAGGGTGTCCTCGTTCTGCATGTCCTCCCTTTGAATATATCCATCGGCCCCAGAGATTTAAGCAGGCCCAAAGAGTTCAGTGTAGGATAAAAGCCACACTTTCTGTCCAAAAATGTTGGTCACGCCTTGTTTGGAAGGTCAACCTGTGGCCAGATCTGCCCATATTTTTTCATTCTTCCAGGCTATGTTAATTCTTCTAATAAATCATCGCAGCCGGCGGGCGTCAAGAGAATTCTAGCAAAACAGAACCACTATTTAAATTATAAGGAATCATCAGTAGGCCTGGGAGAATCCTACTACAGGTGGTCCTCGTACGTACGGCCACAAGGGAGCCCAACATTTCTGTTGCTAAATGAGACAGTTGTTAAGTGAGTTTTGCCCCATTTTACGACCTGGTTTGTTACAGCGGTTAAGTGGATCCCTTCAGTTGTTCAGTTAGTGACACGGTTGTTAAGGGAATCTGTCTTCCCCATTGTCGTCGTTTGTCAGCAGGTCGTAAAAGGGGAAGCCGGGACACTGCAACTGTCATAAATATGAGTCACTTGCCTGGTGTGCTGCCCTGTCAAAGTGGGTGGGAGTGTTGTTTTGTGGTTTTAGGCTGTTGTTTAAAGGGTAAGCCGTGTGTATATAAACAGGGACCAAATCCTTCTCCTTTCTAGCACTGATGCTGTTACCTAGTTTGATCATGAAATGTCTGCAAGAAAACCACCCAGCTCAGAGAGCACCAAGGACCCCACCATCTTTTTCCTCCTCCTCCTCCTCCTCCTCCTCCTCTTTTCCACAAATTCCTCTCCCTTCTAGCACTGATCATGTTCCCTAGTTAGGTAATGAAACGTCTGCATGAAAATCACCAAATTCAGAGAGCATCAAGTCCTCCTCCTCCTCCTCCTCCTCCTCCTCCTCCTCCTCTTCCTCCTGCTCCTCCTCCTCCTCCTCTCCACAAATCGCACTCCCTTCTGGCATGATGTTACTACTTGGGTCATGAAATATCTTCAAAAAAATCAATCAAGGTCAGAGAATACCAAGCATATCACAGTTGTCGTCATTGTCGTCGTCGTCGTCCTCCTCCTCCACCTCCTCCTCCTCCTCCTCCTCCTCCTCCTCCTCCTCCTCCTCCTCCTCCTCCTCCTCCTCCCTACAAACCCTCCTCCCTTCTGACCATGTTCCCTAGTTAGCTAATGAAACGTCTGCACGAAAACCTCCAAACTCAGAAAGGATGAAGGACCCCCCCCACAGTTCGGGATTCCTATGGTGCTCGTGGCAATAGAGGCTGGCTTGGGCCAACGCCGGTGTCATCAGACCCGGCGTCATCAGCCAGAAAAAGAAGAAGAAGAAGAAGAAAGAATTAGAAACTCAAAGAGAATTTGCTTTAATGGGGACCTGCATCACGTAAAAGCCAGCAGCCTTTTCTCCTTAACATTTTTGGCAAGCATCCGAAGTTCCCCTTAGCTCACGTTCCTCGGGGGCGAAACCGAGAAGAAGGACGAGAGAGAGAAGGGAAGGACAAGGGGAGAAAGAAAGGGAACGAAGATCGGGGAGCTTCGAGAGACGGAGGAGAGAGACCGTCTCTTGTGCTTGACGTTGGGGACAGTCCCATCTCCGAAGACCTGAAGGTAGAGTTGAGGCCTTCTCCTTGGTCACCTCTCCTGACCCTTCCCTCACTTCCTCCGGCCGATTTGGGCCATCAGCTGAGCATTGCTGGCCGCCTTCGCCCTCAGGCTTTTTGCTTTCGCGATGTTGAAGAGGATGTTCATGAGGTTGGTTGGGACGTCCAAGGAAAGAGTAAATTTAGCCCGCCGGTCGTTCTTGCCTTGGTTGTGGGACACCTTCCCTTTCGCCTGGCCGAGGGAGACGTAGCGCGTGACGGCCGGGAAAGTCCTTTTCTCCTTCTCTGCCCGGACGGCCTCGAAGGAGTCGGAGTCTTCCCCTTCCAGAGGGATGAGGAAGGCCCTCTTCTCCAGGACCGAGTTCTCACCCAGGAGGTCCTCCTTGGCCTGGGAGAGAGCGGAGTTGAGACAGCTGAAGATGGACTCGGCGTTGAAGGACGAGCTGGTCTTAACGGTGGAGAGAACCAGCAGGAGGAGCAGAAGTCTTGAGGGGCGCATGGTACCACGTAGCCTGTGCCACCAAAGAAGGAGAGAAGGTTTAGGAACATGGGCCCTGGGGAGAACCCTGGCCAAATTGCTGGAGGAGCTGAGTCCATACAGGTAAGTCCCCAACTTACGACCACAACTGAGCCCCGGATTTCTGGGGTTAAGTGAGACATTTGTTAAGTGAGTTTTGCCCCATTTTACGCCCTTTCTCGCCACAGCTGTTATGCGAATCGCTGCCGATTAGTAACCTGGTTGTTAAGTGAATCCAGCTTCCCCGTGGACTTTGCTTGTCGGAAGGTCGCAAAAGGGGATCACGTGACCCCCCCCTCATAAATAGGAGTCAGTTGCCAAACACCTGAATTTTGATCACGTGACCCTGGGGATGCCGCTGCGAAAAACGGTCCTAAGTCACATTTTTCAGCGCCGTTGTAACTTTGAACGGTTACTAAAGGAACTGTTGCAAGTCAAGGACTTCTTGTATATATGGTTCTGTACAGCAGACTTACAGCAGTTTGTTTAGCGACTGTTCAAAGTTACAATGGGACTGAAAAAGTGACTTAGGACCGTTTTTCACAGTTACGACCTGTTGAAAGAAAAATCTTCATCGGGGTCCAGTCCAAGCTGGGAATAAACAAAATGGAGACTGCTTTAGAAAGAAGGTTGTGGTTTAATGGAGAGCAGAGCCAGACAGAAAGATGGCTCTGGAAAAAAAAGTGTCCACATGTAGTGGGTTTTTATCCTTTCTTGGGCTTTTTGTTTAGAGTTGTTCCTGTGGCGTGAACTTTGACCCGAGTCTGAGTGTGCCTTTCTGGTATTCTGATGGTGGTGGGATTAATTCTATTACATCCAAAAAGGTCCTATCCTGCTTCCCTGGGGCTGCGGCTGATGGCTAGGTCCTGTGTTGGATTTTTTTGGTGTGTGGGATTGTTGATTCTAGGGATCTTGGTCTTTCTAATCCCATCAGCTCTAAACTTCCTGGCTCCAGTCTTTCTGAAAGGATGATCACATCTGCATTTCTGCAGACCTGGTTTCTGTTTGGGACAGAGAGACTTGGCGTGTGTGTGTGTGTGTGTGTTGGTTTCTGCCATTAAGATCCTTTGGGGAAATATAATATTCTGCCTTTTCAATACCCCCCCAAACATTTCTTTCTCTGGATTCTTCCCACAACCCATTGCTGCATCCCTGTGGCAACATGGTCAAAATTCAGCCACTTGGGAACTCGTTCACGTTCTTATGACGGTCGCATTTCCTGGGGTCACGTGAGCCCCCTTTTGCGACTGTCTGACCGACAAAATCAATGGGGAAACTGGATTCGCTTTAGGAAGTGCAGCGATTCCCTTTAGGACTGTGTCAAGAAAGGACGTAAAGTGGGGCAAAACTCACTGAACAACGGTCTCGCTTAGCAACCCAAACTCTGGGCTCAATGGTGGTCATAAATAGAGAACTACCTGTCTGGATTTTGAAACAACTGTCCGGTATGGCCACCCCACCCAAACCCTCCTATTGGTACGTCCGTAAGGGTCAAATCTAGATTTTTACATTACGACTTTCTAGGTTGCTCCTGAGATTTTGGGGTGGATGTTTTTCCCCAACCAAATTTAGACAATAAAAGCCAGATGAATAAAAATCCAGATGCATTTGTCGGGTATCCCTTCTCAGTCTGTGCAGATACTGAAGTGAAAATCGTTGTTGCCATGACTTACAAAACAGGTTTGTTTTAAAGACATAACATAAAATAATTTAGCATAGAGACGAGCCTTGCTTTTAACGGTGCCATTATCATAAGTGGGAAGCTGATAGTCTTTGGGTGGGGGAAAATGTGGAGGAGGAATGAAATGTAACGTTCTCAAATGTTCCAGGTTAAAATAATAATAATAATAATAATAATAATAATAATAATAATAATAATAATAATAATAATAATAATAATAATAATAATAGGATGCTGGTAGCAACCCGTGCCAACCATCAGCGCCAGCCAATGTTCAGTTGACTGAGGTTCATGTCTAATGAATAATAATAATAATAATAATAATAATAATAATAATAATAATAATAATAATAATAATAATAATAATAATAATAATAATAATAATCCTTCTTTGAGCTTTCCGTTGGCTTTTTGCAGTGATTGGGCGCCACCTGGTGGCTTTTCTCCAGCACTGCAAGTCAATTCAACGTCCCTTCAATTAAACGTGGTTAGTTTATGGCTAGCCATCTTTTTTAAAGGGATCTTTTGCCGTTGGCAGATTTTATGAAAAGACAGACGCTTTCGTGCCTTTTAATCAACTTTGTGAGTTGGCAAAGATGGCACCCCATTTATTCGGAAAACAGAAACTCGTAGGCAGCACACGGCCTGCCGAGGTAAATTGAAAAGAAATCAAATGTTGATGTAAGTTTCTAGTAACATTTGCGAAGGTGTCGCAACTGATCACAAGCTGAATGTGAGCCTAATTTTTCTCTTTCTTTCTTTCTTTCTTTCTTTCTTTCTTTCTCTCTCTCTCTCTTTCATTCTCTTTTCTTTCTTTTTCTCTCTCCTCTCTTTCTCTCTTCTTTCTTTCTTTCTTTCTTTCTCTTTCTTTTCTCTCTCTCTCTCCCTTCTTTTTTTCTATTTCTATTTCTATCATTTCCTTCCTTCCTTCCTTCCTTCCTTTTTTCCTTCCTTCCTTCCTTCCTGTTATTCCCATCTCCTTCCTTCTTTCTTTCCTTCCTTTCTCTTTCTTTCTTTCTTTTTTCTTTCTTTCTTTCTTCTCTCTTTCATTCTCTTTTCTTTCTTTTTCTCTCTCCTCTCTTTTCTCTCTTCTTTCTTTCTTTCTTTCTCTTTCATTTCTCTCTCTCTCTCCTCTCTTTCTTTCTATTTCTATTTCTATTTCTCATTTCCTTCCTTCCTTCCATCCTTCCTTCCTTCCTGTCATTCCCATCTCCTTCCTTCCTTCCTTTTTTCCTTCCTTCCTTCCTTTCTTCCTTCCTTCATGTCATTCCCATCTCCTTCCTTCCTTCCTTCCTTCCTTCCTTCCTTCCTCCCTCCCTCCCTCCCTCCCTCCCTCCCTCTCTCTCTCTCTCTCTCTTTCTTTCTTTCTCTCTTTCTCTCTTTCTTTCTTTCATTTTCCAAGTCCAGAACATCTTACATTAAAAAGAGAAATACAGGCAGTTCTCGACTTACGACTGCAAGGGAGGCCAAAATTTCCCTCGCTAAGCGAGACATTGGTTAAGTGAGTTTGGTCCCATTTTACGACCTTTCTTGTCACATTGGTTAAGTGACTCACTGAAGCCACTAACCCAATCGGGCTTCCCCCACTGACTTTGCCTGTCAGAAGTTCGCCAAAGGGGATCACGTGGCCCCGGGGATGCTGCGACCGTCGTAAATGTGAGTCAAGTCGCTAAGAGAACGAATTTTGATCCCGTGACCGCGGGGGTGCTGCAACGGTCGTAAGCCTGAAAAGCAGCCATAGGTCACTTTTTTCAGGGCCCTTGTGACTTTGAACGGTCACTAAATGAGTCGTCGTAAGTCGAGGACTACCTGTAGCCTGGAATTTAAGCCGGCATCCTAGAGAGATGAGAAACTCGTCTTTCCTGGATATTCTCAACGGTAGCTGAGCCACCGTTGGCCAAAGATAGGGCAAAACTCACTTAACAAATGGTTCACTTAACGACATAAATTTTGGGCTCAGTGGTGGTTGTAAGTGGAGGACCACCCATATCAGGACTCTGCATAGTTGAAATTTATCAAAGGGGCGAATAAAAGCATTTAAGCAAATTGGGTTTCTAATTTCTGGTCCGAATGGTTTTTTTTTTTACTTATTACTTTATCGTTCAAGGGTCTCCCACTACGGAGTAAGCGAAGCCCTTTGAATTCCGTCAGTCTAAAGTTCTTTTTCCCAAATTCCCTACGGATTCCTTATGGATTTACGAATCTTACCCTTTCTTTGGTATAAACCCCCGCATATAATTTCAATGCTTTTTAAATCTTCGCTCTGCTCTCCTTACTCCAGCATAAATTAGCACGAGAAAAAACACATTTGTTAAGAGAAAAGCACTCTCAGGAATTCCTCCCTCGTTCCCTCTCCTCCCTCCTTCCCTCCCTCCGTTCCTTCTTTCCTTCCTCCCTTTTTTTCCTTCTTTCCTTCTTTCCTTCCTCCCTTTTTTCTTCCTCTCTCCCTCCCTTTTTCCTTCCTTCCTTCCTTCCTTCCTTC